CTTCTCTTTTAAAATAGCCAAAGGTTTCAACCAGTCTAGCTGTTGCCACCTTCTTATTAAACTTTAATAAGCTAAGCTTTTTAAGCCACATAAAAATTTCATCAAGCATTTGTCAACCTTAGGGAAAACGGAAGGAGGAAAAAAGGTCAGAACATCACTTTCCACCACAGTAGCATCTGGAGAGAGATGCTTTGGAAGGATCCTGCATGCAGTCAGCCGCAAAATAAATGCTAGGAAACAAGCTCGCTGTTTGTGGCCTGCACCAGATGGCGATTACGTTTACTCCTTCATCACCCGCAGGCCCCACACTGGGTGCTAATTAAAGCACTATCTTCCAATAGCAGACTCCTGGGACAACTGTGAGCCTTTGTTCCAACGTCCTCGGGGTGTGCTGCACGCAGTCCACTGCTACAGGCTTGCTTGTCAAGAACACCGCTTCAGAGCAGCTCCTTATCATTTTACTTTCAGTGTTTCATATGTCAACATATTTTAAAAACAAATCTTTAGTTTTGTTTTTTTTTCCAAACTATTACATGTTATAGGAGGGAAAAGGAGGTGGGCTGTCTGGGGTCCTCAAGACATGAGAAACCGGTGGTGGGTTCCAAGCGTCCTTCCTTCCCCCACAGATCTCTGACAATGTGCTGCAGAAGCCTCCAACCTGGAACTGCCAACAGGACCAGAGCAGCCCCACCACCAGAGCACCCCACCGCCAGAGCACCCCCACCGCCAGAGCACCCCACCGCCAGAGCACCCCCACCGCCAGAGCACCCCACCGCCAGAGCAGCCCCACCGCCAGAGCAGCCCCACCGCCAGAGCACCCCACCACCCCGCCCCAGAAAAAGCCAAGAAAAGCCCAACTCCTCTAGCCAAAGTACCAGGAGAAGAACGGCCTAACATCAGAAAACACCTGGGTAATGCTCATTCTACTCCAGCCAGGCGCCAAAGGAAAAATCACCATCCCCCTCCCGCCCTGGTCTCACAGAGCCCAGTGGGAACAGGCTCTCCCAGCCCGCTCCTCAGGAAGGAAACTGTGCACACTGGTCTAATTAACATCCAGAGAACACGCCACCCAACAGCAGAATATTTTTTCCAAGCACCAAAGAAACACTGACTAAGACAAACCACATCCTAGATCATAAAACCTCAAGAAACAGAAGCGGACTGAAATCATATAGTATTTCTCTGAGCATAATGGAATCACACTAGAAATCAGTAACACAAAGATAATAGTAAAATCTTGGCAGGGCACGGTGGCTCACACCTGTAATCCCAGCCCTCTGGAAGGCCGAGGTGGGAGGATCGTTTGAGGTCAGGAGTTCAAGACCAGCCTGGGCAACACAGTGAAACCTCATCTCTACCAAAAAATACAAGTTAGCCAGACATGGTGGCATATGCCCATAATCCCAGCTACTCGGGAGGCAGAGGTAAGAGAATCACTTGAACCCAGGAGGTGGAGGTTGCACGGAGCTGAGATCATACCGCTGCACTCAGGAAAGGAGTAAACATAATGAAGGAGTAAATGTAATCACCATCGGGTGCAGGCCACAAACAGCAAGCTTGTTTCTTAGCATTTATTTTTAGTAGAGACGGGGTTTCACCGTGTTAGCCAGGATGGTCTCGATCTCCTGACCTCGTGGCTTGCAGTCTGTATTTTGTTTTGTTCAACCTCTTAACAAGGTTTTCAAAAAGCAAAAATTTCTACTTTTTATGAAGTTTATTAATTTTTTCTTTTATGAATTGTGCTTTTGGTGTCAAGTCTAAAAACTCTTTACTTATCCCTAGATATCCCAAAGATTTTCTACTATTTTTCCTGAAAGTTTTATATTATGTTTTACATTGAAGTCTGTGATTCGTTCATTTGAAGCCTTTGTTGTTTTCTACAGTAAGAATTAAGGGCTATAAATTTCTCTCTCAACACTTCTTTAAGGCTGTGCCTCACATATTTTGATATGCTATATTTTCATTTTCATTCAGTCCTATGTATTTTTTCTTTTCAGATTTCTTTTATCTACACATCATTGAGAAGCATATTGCTGAATTTCCAGTAGTTTAGAGATTTTACTTTTTTTTCTCCTTTTGAGAGAGGGTGTTACTCTGTTACCCAGGCTGGAGTGCAGTGCCACGATCACGGCTCACTGCAGCCTCTGCTTCCCAGGGTCAAGCAATTCTCGTGCTTCAGCCTCCTGAATGGATGGGGCTACAGGCGCACGGAACCTTGCCCAGCTAAGTTTTTGTGTTTTTAGTAGAGATGGGGTTTGCCATGTTGGCCAGGCTGGTCTTGAACTCCTGACCTCAAGTGATCCATCCACCTTGGCTTCCCAAAGTGCCGGTATTACAGGTGTGAGCCACTGCGGCCGGCCCGTGATTCCACCTATTTAACATTCTTTTTTTTTTTTTTTTTTTTTTTTGAGACGGAGTCTCGCTCTGTCGCCCAGGCTGGAGTGCAGTGGCCGGATCTCAGCTCACTGCAAGCTCCGCCTCCTGGGTTCACGCCATTCTCCGGCCTCAGCCTCCCGAGTAGCTGGGACTACAGGCGCTGCCACCTCGCCCGGCTATTTTTTGTATTTCTTAGTAGAGACGGGGTTTCACCGTGTTAGCCAGGATGGTCTCGATCTCCTGACCTCGTGATCTGCCCATCTCGGCCTCCCAAAGTGATGGGATTACAGGCTTGAGCCACCGCGCCCGGCCAATTTAACATTCTTGAAATGACAAAACTATAGAGATGAGAAACCGATGAGCGGTACATTAGGGAAAGGGTTTGGTTATAAAAGAGCAGCACAAGGGACCCTTGTGACGGAACTGGTCTGTATCCTGACCGTGATGTTGGTCACGTGAATCTACACATGCGACAAAACTGCACAGACTAAAGACAGACACAAATACACACACACAAATAAGTACAAATTAAACTGGAGAGATGGGGAGATTTCAGTGTATTCAGGAAGATCAGTGGATTTTATCCATGCCAATTTCCAGGTTATGATACTGACCACAGTTATACAAGACGTTTTTACTCAGGGAGAAAATGAGTGAAGGGATAAGAGACCTCTTTGTATTTGTATTATCTCTTACAAATGCAAGCAAATCTACCTTTTCCTGAAATGCATATAACCCGAAACTAATCATGAAGGAACATAAGACATCGCATAAACTCAAATAGAAAATAATTGATCTGTACTTTTCAGAAACATCAATGTCATAAAACCAAGTAAGAAGAGACAACTGAATGCAAAATCCAATGAGCTCCAATCAATCCAGGATTTTCTCTGCTATAAAGGTCATTATTGAGCCAGTTTTACAAAACCCAAGAAAGGTCTATCAATCAGATAATGTATTATATCAATGCTAATTTACTGATTTTGACAACCACACTATGGTTATGTAAGAGAATGTTGTTTTTAAAAATATACAACAAAGTATTTAAGGGTAACATGGCATCATATCTCAAACTTACTCTCAAATAGTTTTGTTAAGGTATATATACAAAGGCTGAGGATGGTGTTTACACCCATAATCCCAACACTTAGGGAGGCCAAGGTGGGAGGATCGTTTGAGCCCGAGTTTGAGACCAGCCTGGGCAACACTGCAAGACCTGGTCTGTGCAAAAAATTAAAAAGTTAGCCAGGCATGGTGATGCATACCTTCAGTCCTAGCTACTCAGAAGGTTGAGGCTGGAGGATCGCTTGAGCCCAGGAGTTGGGGCTGCAGTGAGCCATGACTGCCACCACACTCCAGCCTGAGTGACAGGGCAAGGCCCTGTCTCTTAAAAAAAATTTTTTTTAATTAAAAAAGTATAGATACCTAGAAAAGGAAATATAGTAAAACATTAACAGCTGTAGAATCTGAGTGAGGGGAATACCTAACACTTATCTTGCACATTTTTGTTAAGTCTAAAATTACAAATATAAAAATTATCAAAATAAAAAAAATTAAAAGTGCACAGGCAGAGCCTGGCACATAAAGCTTCAATAATCTACAGTGTTTGGGTATTTTATATCTACTTTCAGATGAAGAAAGAAGTTGAGATGCTAAATAAACTGTCCATCAGGGATGAGGGATCATGGGAAACCGGCGGCACAGAAGGGAAGTGAGCTGAGACTGGTTCTGTGCCAAAGTCTGTGCTGCTTCCACTAGAAAGAGGAAGGATAAAAATCCCAGTGTCCCTGTCCCCACAGGGATTTGAATGTACTGTGTTAGGAGAAGATAGCGTTATACAAAAATTGGCTTCAAACCACTCTCCAAGCAAGTCACTTCTTAGTTTTCCACATGCAAAGTCTAGGCTAGGGACCTAACAGCCCGAACCTGGCTCCTAGGGTGGGTATTCTGTCCACAGCACATCAAACAAACTTAAGTTACCAACTGAGAGCCACCGTCTCCAGGCCCTCATACCAGGGAAGCACACTGCTTTTCCTAGGTTTATTCACTCAACCCAAATTCCCTGAGCACCTCAGATGTGCTGTCAACGGAACTTCTAGGATGACTATCCAGAGAAATGTGTTCTGTTGGTCCTCCCCACCTCACCCGTACCAACCATGTCTGAGCTTAGATGACAGAGGTTTTCCACTGATTTCGTTTTCTAAATAGATAATACTTTCCCAGTTCAAAATTCACATGGGAAAGAATTTCACACAGGAAGGGGTAGTATGAAGTCTCCCTAACCCCCCTCCTAGTTCCCATTTCCAGAAACATCCAAAGTTACTAGTTTAAAAATGCAACTATGTGATATTTCTCCAAATTAATAGAATTATCTAGATAATACTATGATATCAAGCTATCTACCTGAACAGACTATTCTAGGTGATCACAACAAATGTAGTATCCTTTAGGTTATTTTAAATATCCCTTAAATACTTGTGTAGACATTTTCAACATATTAAAATGACTGAGTAAGGTAACAACATTTTTTAAAAGAAAAAACATGTTAGTAAGATGCATGGACACGACAGATGTCTGTGAACTCTGGCTGGTAAGAACCAATCACTGTTGAGTACTGAGCTCACCTGGTTCCTGTCGCGTGCATTTGTGTACCTGATCTTCTGAATGAAGTAGAATATGAGCCATGCTGAAGAAATAATCATCAAAACAATAAAGGATATTGACACGAAGACTAGAGAGCCACGGCTGAAGTTCTTCGGTGGCATTCGAGTTCCAACAGCTATTGTCATTTGTACAGAGATGTTTTTCTCCAGATAACTCAAAATATCCTTACCCCTCAATTCTGTTATCATGACAGCAATAATATCTCCAGTGCCTGTAATATAAAATAAATATATAACTCAAGTGACAGTTAAAATTTATAGAAACATCAAATATATAAACACACTACTTAGGTAACTACCGTAATATCTGGTAATGGAAAGGGCATGGGAACTCCACTTCTCAACTGAAATGAAGCTGCAGCTGGGTATGCTGGCACCAAGTGGGAACATGTAATTTGTTGTGTGGTACTTAAGACTTAAACAGACATAAGGCATAGAACGATTGCAGTGTTAAGAACCATATTAACTTGTCTGACAACTACATTTAAAAAAGAGTATTAAACCAACCAAATGTGACAACAGACAGCAATATAACATTATACAGCAACAGAAGTGTATCAACATCATGGTAGATTTACACTGTAAAATCTTTTCTATTTTAAAATGATCTTCAGAAAGTCTTAATTCCTTAAGAAATGGAGTAAAGTGCTGTTTTTATAGCATAAATTGGTACTTCTTGCACTAATCTAGGAACATTCATGGAGCACCCACTGTCTGTAGAACTAGCGCAAGGAACAAAAACAAGTACAGGATACCACGCTTTCTAATCTCACCGAGACACAGGACACACAGCTGGTAACAGAGCTACAAAGTGCCAAATGGTGGTACCTTTTATTAGTGACATCTGAAACTAACTTGGGTCTTATGTCCGGACTTGAGTGGAGCGAGGCTCCTTGCTAGTTTACCCCAGAACTCTTCTGGAAATCAAATGTTCCAGAGACAGGTCCAGGCTTCAACATTCTGGACTAGTTTGGCATCAAAATACCTCCAGCCTCTAACAGTTGTCCAGAAGTCTGCCCACAGTCACAGGCTATGTAAGTTAATTACGACGATGGTCTTAAGTTGCTTTATAGTTACCTAGACCTTTCCCCTATATAATTTCCAGAAGTAGTAACATTAGAGGAATTGAACATCTATTCCTATGGACAGCAGGAAACTGCTATCCCTTTCCTCCTCCACAAGGGAAATAACTTCCCAGTGTCTTTTAAGAAAACAGAGAAACTTCTATCAATCTATCAGCAATTGTCCTTTCACAAGCTGAAGCTGCTGGTGGTAACATATAACTTCTACATTTGCCTTCTCCAGAGAGACTCTAAGAGGGACTAGGGGTCAGCAGAAGGGAAATAAATATTTTATTTTGGGAAAGATAAAATTATAACCACTTATTTGAATCTGAATAAGGTTTGTACATACAAATGTAAACCAACAAAACAAACAAGCAAAAGTCCCCAAAACTTGTCCTTTTCAATGCTTCTTCAATGAATAACACATTGAAATATTTTGGTTTTACATGTTTCATTTACCATATTTAGCTAAAAGAACCACTGTGTTACATGCAGTCACAGAAGACTACATGCAACTGAAAAAGAAATTCAACAAGGCTGGGTGCAGTGGCTCATGCCTGTAATCCCAGCACTTTGGGAGGCTGGGGCAGGTGGATTGCTTGAGCTCAGGAGTCCAAGACCAGCCTGGGCAACATGGCGAAACCCCGTCTCTCACAAAAACAGGAAAATTAGCCAGGCATGGTGGCACATGTCTGTGTTCCCAGATACTCAGGAGTACTCCTCATACTCCACCCCTAAAGCCTGAGGTGGGAGGATCACTGGAGTCCAGGAAGTTGAGGCTGCAGTGAGCTGAGATCACATCACTGCATGCCAACCTGGGTGACAGAGTGAGACCCTCAAAAAAAAAAGAAGAGAAATGTAACAGTAAAAGGAGTTTTACAGAAAATGTAACCCAATGGAACATACACCTTTTTACTACCTTACTCAAAATTCTTACAGCCACTTTATTAGAAGAGCAGTTTATCAGAATACTGATTAAAAATCCACAAAAAAACTATAAAATTAAAGCAAGCAATAAACATCTAATTAACATCTAATTACCTTCCTGAAATAAGAGTTTTCATCAGTAAGTTAGAGACAATCATAAAATAATGCTAAGCCACTTTAAATTTCCCTTTAGAAATCTCTTTTAAAATGTTGTTCAACAGGCCATGATCTGTGGTATAAGATACCAGGTATGGCTATAAAGTAACTGAGACGGATCCCACAAACAACATATGACAATCAGTCTCATTGCTTTATAATCACACCAGGTACAAATGGTTTTAGAAATCAGTTGAGGCTCCCTCTTGAAGACTCAAGCTGGAAAAGGAGTAGGGAAAGCTGAACAGGTAGCCAAGGAAACCAATCCATGTAATTCTATTCAAAGAACACTAAATAAGAACACCAACTAATTTCAACAGGGAAGCTGTTTGGGAAAAGAAGTGTGTAATTATTTCAACCATCCATTCAACAATATTTATTGAACACATACTATGATAAGGCTCCTTTCACCTCTTAAAGAGAGTAGAGAATTACCTGCTCTTGATGCAAAAATCCACGTGCCTTCAGGAGCAAAGGGGAACCTTTCGGACTAGGGAGAGAAGCTGCTCGCAGTGGCGTCCTTACAACAGCACAGACAAGAGCCGGGCAGAGGAGCCCGACCCTGCCGACCAGGCAGGAGGACAGCAGAGAGGCCAGCAGAACGAAAGTCCACCACCGACACTTGCAAAGGACTGGAGTGTTAGCCATTTTAGGTCTTAAATCTCTTACAGAATCTGGTGAAAGTTATATAGGAGTCCCCTCCTAGGAGAAAGGGCCTTCTCCCCAAATTCCACCCCTAAAGCCTGATAGGGTTCAAAGACCCTGACCTAAAGCTGCCTCAGACACTTGACTTTTAAAGATCTGAGGAGCTCTGGCCCAGCTTCAGGAGGGATACACACGCCGAAGGATATGTAGGCATCAGAATAAAGGCCCAGTCAGAGCAGGCAGTGACTGATAAGAGTTAAGAATAATTAGACCGTAGTGTTGTGACCCACATCTGTAATCCCAGCACCTTGGGAGGCTGAGGCGGGCGGATCACAAGGTCAGGAGATCGAGACCATCCTGGCTAACATGGTGAAACCCCATCTCTACTAAAAACACAAAAAATTAGCCGGGCGCTGTGTAGTCCCAGCTACTCTGGAGGCTGAGGCAGGAGAATGGTGTGAACCCGGGAGGCGGAGCTTGCAGTGAGCTGAGATCGCACCACTGCACTCCAGCCTGGGTGACAGAGCGAGATTCCATCTTAAAAAAAATAAAAAATAAAAATAGGCCAGGCGCGGTGGCTCAAGCCTATAATCCCAGCACTTTGGGAGGCCGAGGCGGGCGGATCATGAGGTCAGGAGATCGAGACCATCCTGGCTAACACAGTGAAACCCCGTCTCTACTAAAAAAGACAAAAAAATTAGCCCGGCGTGGTGGCGGGCGCCTGTAGTCCCAGCTACTCGGGAGAATGAGGCAGAAGAATGGCATGAACCCCGGAGGCAGAGCTTGCAGTGAGCCGAGATCGCACCACTGCACTCCAGCCTGGGCAACAGAGCGAGATTCCGTCTCAAAAAATAAATAAATAAAAATAATAAAAATAATTAGACTGCAACACTGTAAGTATCAAAGCATATTTGGGACATGCCCCACCACTCCCATGTCCCAAGCCCTGGGCAAACACTGCTGAGCGCGGTGGCTCATGCCTGTAATCCCAGCACTTTGGGAGGCCCAGGCAGGCGGATCACAAGGTCAGGAGATCAAGACCATCCTGGCTAACACGGTGAAACCCCGTCTCTACTAAAAATAGAAAAAAATTAGCTGGGCGTGGTGGTGGGTGCCTGTGGTCCCAGCTACTCAGGAGGCTGAGGCAGGAGAATGGCGTGAACCTGGGAGGCGGAGCTTGCAGTGAGCCGAGATCACGCCACTGCAGTCCAGCCTGGGCGACAGAGTGAGACTCCGTTTAAAAAAAAAAAAAAAAATCTTTGACGGTCCAGAAGGACTGCTGCTGAGGGAAGAGTTAGGTGTATTCAGGGTCAAGCTGGGCATGGGGCAGAGCCCTGGCTGCCTGTGTCTCCGTGGGTCCTGCTGGCTCCTACTCCCAGGAGTTCTCATCTCACTCCACTGACTTAATGAAAGTCCTTCTCAAACATTTATCCACAATACCTTCAGTGCTTCATACCCAGTCCTCATTTTTCTCTTCACTGATCCCTTAAAGAACTCAAGGGGGAAAAACAGACACATTCTACATTCTTTTATGAAATGAATATAGCAATAATTCTGACAGATGGAGGTTATATCAATTATAGATTTCCTGCTAGACTTGTCAGTTTTCCTAAAATATAGATTTGCCCTGTCACTCTGCTTTGAAAAGCCTTTGATGTATCCCTTCTGTCAAACAAATAAAGTCCAAACTCTTTCACTGGACACTCAAGCATTGGGGAGCCAAACGGCCCTGAGGGTAAGTGAGACATGGGACAGTGAACCCTCTCTGACCCAGTGAAACTGTTGGGCAAAGTGACTGGAATAGTGGTTCATGCAGTCTAGGCAGGACGGAGAGGTGAAGCCAGGAGGGAAACTGGGAGAAAACTAAGAAAGGGTCCGGGAACTGGAAGCTTCAATAAAACTGAATGTCAGTTTTACTGAAGACAGGGGGAGAAAGGGAAGAGGCACTGGTCAGGGTACAGGACACAGAAGTTTGCAACTCGAGCTGTAACAATCCTGTGAGATGATGAGGCCCAGGGAGCAGCTATGGGACCAGGCTCCTGGAGAAGTAGAATGGCTGAAGGGTCTGTGGAAGGAATCTCTGGTTAGGTGTTCACTTTCCAGGTGGATTCTGAAGCTGCCCAGGATGGTGGCAGGACCTCTGATGAACAGGGAGCAGTGACAGGAGGGGAAGAACATGACTATGGAGAGGAGGAACACGGTCTGCTGCACAAAACTGAAACTGAAGTCTCCCCATGTGGAAGTGACCGGTTTGGATGTGCTGTACATCACCACCACAGTACCCCTCAGCGCCCACAGATGCACAGCAATGACCAACTTGTAATTTTGCTAATGCTTGAACCTGAGCCTCCTGCCATGCGGCTGTTGGGAAGCCGAATGTGTAAGCTACTGAGTGGTAGTCACTCACTGATAATTCCTGA